TGTAACAGCTCCCCTCTGTGCTCGTTTGCAGGATCTGTATTTTAGGTGAACTGTTCATTCCTTTGAAACCGTCGTATAACCGATAGCCATAGACAACAATACAAACGGTTCAAAAATCACGAATTAACTACCGAACACCGGACCACCCTGATGCCTAATTGTGCTTTAATTTACCTCCCTGTTCGGCTAATGTATTCATATTGAAACCCGCAAACGCTTTGTTCAAGTCCTTGGGTGGCCACCATTTCGGGAGTTTATACGTGGCTAAAATCGGACACTCGACTAGGCAAACACCGCTGAGACCTCCAGACTTCCATAAATTTGTGCCGAAACTACCGAACATCCCGCCGTTCGGTAGAAAGACTGAGTTAATCATGGGGATTCATACGAACGCCAGGTTACCCACGGATGGCAAGCCTTTCGGGACTTTTTATTACATGAACAGAGACCGACCGCAAGGCCAAAACTTATGGAACTGTTTTTGGCTACTGTGCCTGTGTGGTCGTTCAAAACTTTAAACCACCATAACTCCCGAACCCCTGGCCTGATCTGGGTGATTTTTAAATATGTTGCACACCCAGATTAGGGCTATCAGGGGATAAAACGCAGGGAAAAATGCGACTTGTTAATTGTGCTAAATGTTTATCTAAGGGGAGGAGATGTGTGGGTTGTACCTTGTGTTTCATTGGTTACTGCAATAATTGTGTGGGTGTCTCCCTTGCATGGGAGCATCACATAAAATGAGAATACCTGCCATTAAAATTCAGTTCTTCTTGATCCTTCAAAACTTAGCCTTGTCTCGTTATTGAAAGGGAATCTACTCAGCATAATCACTAGCTCTTTTAAGAGCTCTGCCCTGCTCTCTACTTGGATCCAGCAACTCCACTACTGCACAGCAGCTTGCCGGGAAGAAGGACGTCTCCAACGGCTGATACCCCTTCTCCAACTGGGGGTGGCCGTTACAGTGAAGTACTTTTTTTTTGTTCTCTGTATAAGAATTTGTGAGTGCCTTAAACAGTAGGCCGGCACTGCGGACAGGAGCAGGGGTACGTTGTAACTGATTTTGGGGACACACCGAGGTTTAATCATTAATGTAATTTCATGTCTTACTTGAAGATTTTTGTAAATGAAATCAATCTCAATGATTTCTCTTTGGTAATACGCCGTCGGTGATGTTTATTAAAGATTAAGAAATGTAATTCCAGGATAAACGCGAGGGTAGGGTCAATGTATCTGTTACAACTATTGTTCTTACACATTTTACTACAGAACTGTATCGGTTTGGCCTTGAAAAATACAGCATTTTCACAATTAATACAGTTCTACAAGTGGAGCAGTCACCATGGAAACCAAGAGAATGTTCCTGACGACTGCTTAACTTTTGACACTTTTCTCCAAAACAGCTTTTTATAACCTCCCCCCGTCCGCCGCAATGCTACACTTATTTTATGCAAACAGCACATTATAACAGGATCTGTGATCATTGTCATCACTTCACTCAAATACAGAGAGGGGACATCTCTCCACGCAACTACCACAAATAGAAGGGGGCAGTAAGGAGCTCTTTATATGGGATGGATGGGGTGGTACAGAGCTCTGTATATGGGATGGAGGGGGTGGTACAGAGCTCTGTATACGGGATGTTGGAGGCGGTAGAGGGCTCTGTATATGGGATGGAGGGGGCGGTACAGGGCTCTGTATATGGGATGGAGGGGCGGTACAGAACTCTGTATGTGGGATTGAGGGGGCGGTACAGGGCTCTGTTTATGGGATGGAGGGGGTGGTACAGAGCTCTGTGTACGGGATGCTGGAGGCGGTAGAGGGCTCTGTATATGGGATAGAGGGGGCGGTACAGGGCTCTGTATATGGGATGGAAGGGCTCTGTATATGGGATGGAGGGGGCGGTAGAGGGCTCTGTATATGGGATGGAGGGGCGGTAGAGGGCTCTGTATATGGGATGGAGGGGGCGGTAGAGGGCTCTGTATATGGGATGGAAGGGGCGGTACAGGGCTTTGTATATGGGATGGAGGGGCGGTACAGGGCTCTGTATATGGGATGGAGGGGGCGGTACAGGGCTCTGTATATGGGATGGAGGGGGCGGTACAGGGCTCTGTATATGGGATGGAGGGGGCAGTAGAGGGCTCTGTATATGGGATGTAGGGGTGTACAGGGCTCTGTTTATGGGATGGAGGGGCTGTACAGGGTTCTGTATATGGCATGTAGGAGTGTACAGGCTCTGTATATGGGATGGAGGGGACGTACAGGGAGCTGTATATGGAGTGGAGGGGTGGTAGAGGACTCTGTATATGGATGGGGGTACAGAGAACTGTATATGGGGGGGCGGTACAGGGCTCTTTATATGGGATGGAATGGGGCGGTACAGGGAGCTGTGTATGGGGTGGAGGGGGTGGTAGAGGACTCTGTATATGGGATGGAGGGGGCGGTAGAGGGCTCTGTATATGGGATGGGGGGCGGTACAGAGAACTGTATATGGGGTGGGCGGTACAAGACTCTGTATATGGGATGGAATGGGGCGGTGCAGGGAGCTGTGTATGGGGTGGAGGGGGTGGTAGAGGGCTCTGTATATGGGATGGAGGGGACGGTAGAGGGCTCTGTATATAAGATGGAGGGAGCGGCACAGAGCTCTGTATCTGGGATGAAGGTGGCGGCACAGAGAACTGTATATGGGGTGGGCGGTACAGGGCTCTGTATATGGGATGGAGGAAGCGGTACAGGGCTCTGTATATGGGATGGAGGGGGCGGTAGAGGGCTCTATATGGGATGGAGGGGGCGGTAGAGGGCTTTGTATATGGGATGGAGGGGGCGGTAGAGGGCTTGTATATGGATGGAGGGGGTAGTGTATGGATGGGTCTGCGGAGAACTGTATATGGAGGGGGCATACAGGGCATATGGGATGGAGGGGGCTCTTGTATATGGGATGGAGGAAGGTAGAGGGCTGTATATGGGGTGGAGAGGGCTAGAGGGCCTGTATATGGATGGAGGGGGCGGTAGAGGGCTCTGTATATGGGATGGAGGGGGCGGTAGAGGGCTCTGTATATGGGATGGAGGGAGCGGTACAGAGCTCTGTATATGGAATGAAGGGGGCAGTACAGGGCTCTGTATATGGGATTGAGGGGGCGGTAGAGGGCATTGTATATGGGATGGAGGGGGCGGTAGAGGGCTCTGTATATGGGATGGAGGGGGCGGTAGAGGGCTCTGTATATAGCATGGA